CCATTTGTAACGGTTTGGGATCTCTACAAAGAGCGTGAGTGAGTGAGTGTGTGTGACAAGACCACACTATACCACGCACCTACCACCGTACGTGGCGCTAGTGGGTCGGTTCTTTGTGTCTGTGTTGCTTCTTTCCGAGTACCCAAGTCAGACCCCCACGACCGATGGTGTGTTGCTTCTTTCCGAGTACCCAAGTCAGACCCACGACCGATGGTAAGCCGCCCACTTCATGTTTGGGCTCATGTATGGTGGTCCCAACGAGTCACACAACAACAGCAATTTGGTTCGGTGCATAACATGGTAGTGCCTTCTGGCCTCTGGGTCTGTATGTAGGTTGTTGCGGCCCTCCTCCGATAGTCCCCTTCAGTGAACGGAGATTTGTGTCCGGTTCCGCGGCATGGGCAACCCCATGTACACAGTAACCTAAGTTTCTCTTGTAGAGAGTCTCGAAATAACGACTCCCCAACAGGTGTTTTGACAAAGCATCCATTGCTGACTGATCGTACCACTGCAGAGGATATCTTACATCCTCTATGTACTGCTGTATGTACGACAAACGTACTCGTGTTTTGGATCAACACCCACGAACGAACCGCAACAAAGCTGCTTTTTGTTCCTTTTCGCCGACCGTTTCATGCACAACCTCTCCGCGCCGAGGAGACCATCAATCATCAAGTCGGTGTTGGTTTTCACGATCGGACGGGGCAGATGCTACTACTGTGTACTGCGCTGAGAGGTAGGCGTGGTAATCAATATTTCTGTGCGAACGCCGTTGGATTTATGGGGTGTATGCGGCGTGTGCGTGAGCGCGTCTCATCATTCTCACCCGAAGGATTCGAAAATATCCGAGAAGGTCGGCACAAACAGGGAGAGGTGCCTGGCCCTTTCTACCATGGACAGGCGACGTGCCCTAGCCAAGACAAAATGAACATGATTTCCTGCGCTAGGTGTTATTGAAAGCTGCCTCAGCCTCAGGTTCTCCGTAGCTCCTACAGCAGTGTTGATGCATGAATCGGTTCTGTCTCTGAAATTTCGCCCGCGAGAGCGAACTTCAATGGGTGGTCTTACAATGGTACAGTACTACTGGTGTACACATAATTGCACTTCTCAGGATGTGGAATGCGTCTTCAGTGAGCTGACATGATTGGCAACGGAGGCAGCCGTCGAAAAGAAGACGCTAGACGTAGCGATTCTAGTGATGACGATGATGACGACGAAGACCAAGAGCCCGAAGGACCGCCGCAGAAGTTTGTGCTGGCCGGGGACGATACGGGCAGCGGCATCGAATACAACATCCTGGACCCAGAGTCTTGGCAGAAGCTGGAGCACTATTGTAAGGTATGTAGGCTCTGTCGTGCACGAGGTGACCAAACCTATGTATGCTGCTTTTTATGATGCCAATTCCTTAAGGATCTTGTGCAAAACGTATCCGCGAATCCCATCTCCCTCGCGTTCGAACACCATGGCACGAAACTCCGCCGTGATAATCTTCACCGTGGTTCTTCGATATAGAGTTCACGACACAGATCGACTACAAATATTCTCCGTCTAATGTGATTTCGTACTGTATTGTTGTCGCTAGCTGTTGGTAAACATCAGTCATATTACCGACGGCAGCAGCATCACTCTTACCGAATAATTTGGATTCTAACTTGCTGTTCCCATCAAGACGAGGGTCTGCTAGACTCTACGTGGTTTTTCATCGTTTAGAAGATGAAGTTGTTCTCCCAGCGTGAAAATTGGGCTCAGTAACAACCACAACAACAACGTTCTTGTTGTGGCTGTTGGTTGTTGTTGTGGCTGTTACTGAGCCCGATTTTCAAGCTGGGCTCTCCTTGCAGAGGTGTCCACGATCCTCGTCTGATGCAAATTAATCTTTTTACGGATGGTGACAGAAATGGGGTATCAAGCAAGCGCACCTCGAGTCGATCTACTCTCGGTTCGCCCGCACTATCATCAGGACGGAGCACCTGGACTTCACGCTCAAGCCCCAGTACCACGCAAGTCTTGATTTCCTGGCGGTAAGAGGGGGAAGACGGGGGCAGTGGCCTCCCCAGGTTTTTTCGTTTGTCAACATGTGGATAAAGCTATACTATCGGGGAAATCCAACTAGGGTTAGGGGTAGGGTCTGCGTACTCCTCTCCTTTTTCTAGTTCCTGATAATCTTAACTTCTCGCGAAGGCGGTCCAACGTGGAAGAGGCGCCGATATGTTGGAAGGACAGAGAAACAGGGTTCTCATCGTTTTCGTGCGCATTCGCAGAAAAAGATTTCACACGCACACCCGTGAGCTGCACGCCGTCGCTCCTACTTCACCTACTACTGCATGATGTTCTGCCGTGCCTTCTTTAGCAAACCGACAAACTACGGTAGGTGATATTTTAATTACCCACTGGGTGTATCCACACTACGGACCGCGGTCGCCACAAAGACCTTCCGACACTACTAGCGCATTTTCATTTAGTCGTTGGTTCTGTTGAGAGAGGATAAACCATAGAGAGGCTGCCCCTTTGCCCTGGTTCGCGATAAACCTGACGGCCTTTCGGCGGTCATACGATGACGGCCGCCACACGGTCTCGCCGCTTCTTGGTCTGGGAGCTAGGATCATGGTAAGAGGTGTAGGCAGAGTCCTTCTCTGTGCTTTATTGCAAACGAAATCCGAGTCTATCACGTCAGCATGGCTCTGCTGGGGGTGTAGCGCTCGTGGTTGAAGCAAGCACACTTTCGTGTGCAAATGACCGGCACGGAACAGATCCATACTGATAAATATTCCACCTGTTTACAACATGTTCTGAGGTTGCGTTCCTCCTTCTGGGCCCACGTATGGCTGCATTAATACATCGATCATACAAATGACCAAAAGCTACAGCTGCAGCTACAAGCAGCAGCAGCAGCAACAACAACAACAACAACGCAGTCACGTCCCCCCCGTCTCCTAAAACCGACCAACCAATCGATTGCGTCTCGAAGGACGAGTTCATGACGACAGCAGGGGAGTTCGCCGCTCAGATCTTCATCCAGACGTGGTTCTTGCGCCGCAAGCGAGGGCTAGCACCACCACAGGATCGGCGGTGTGTCGACTTCACTCGGCTGGTCATCATGTCCTCCGATCTGGCACGCCTGGGGGACTACGAGCTGTTGACCAACTTGTGGGCATGCGTCTTACACAGGTAAAGGCGTAATGGTTCGCGTGTATCAACCCTTCAAGACTTCATTGTCAACCGCCATATCTGTAAACGGCCAGCCTCTCGTAAGCGTGAATGAGGCGAACAAATGTTGTTTACGATGAAAAATCATCCATAGACTTCGGACACCAACCAATGACTATGCCCCAACAAACCTATCAGGTTCAGCGGCATTCTACCCACTGGCACGGTCGACTTGGACACGCGAGTCAACGTCGAGCTGGTTAGGGAAGTGATCACTGTGATGCACAAGACCCTCGACAAGAAGCTCGACCTCTTGATTGACATGCTCCTGGAAGAGTCCGAAGAAATCGAAATACAGGTTACGAAGCCAAGGTCACCCGGCCGCTTTCTACTGCTCATCCCATCAAATGTGTATGTCGGGCTAGATAGTCCCCGCGAATGACGGCTGTGGTCTAGCTGGCATCATCCCGACTGTTTCTCCCGAAAGCCCCCCGGTCCCCCTCCTGTGGCGCGTGGTTGAAATTTGCGGCGGAAGAGGGGCGTTTGTCTAGCAGGACACATGTACTTGAGACAAACAACATATGCTTGGGCTTCAGGATGTAGACTAGGCTGTTCAATTTAGGCAACTAACATGCGTTTCAACGGTAGCCTAAACCCACAGCAACTAGTTCCTGACATCGATGCCCCCTTTGCATCATCATGTCATAGAATCGCCAGACTCAGACAGATGAGTCGCAAGAAAAAGGCCAAGGCTCGGCCTTTGAAGACGCGCTACTCACATGCTCTATGATCATGCCTGGAAACGTGTGAAAACAAGTAAACCATGACCTACATCTCCACCCTTCATCTGTTTTTTTCGGCTTTTTCTCTGGTGTTCCCGACAACAGGGGGGCGTTGCGAGAAGGCGGGGACTTTCAAGCATCAGCAGCAGCGGCGGCGGCGGCGGAACAACAAGGACAGGGGAAGAGGGGCAACGAAAAATCATCCACAAGAGCAACGGGGAGGAGGCGGACGGGGCGCAGTCGCAAGCGCAGCGGCGCAGATACCTGACGCTCCGGAACATCCTCCGTTTTAGCTTCCAGCACCCCCCCCTGATGTTCCCAGTTGTGCAGTTCCAGCGAGTGCTTAGGTGTAAAATCATCGGTGAGGAGGAGAAGGAGGGTGGGGAGGTATCGCTCGTCTCTTTTGCTACATTGAGAATTGGCAATCAAATACGTGCTTGCTTGGCCAATGATCACACACAATGTGTGCATCCATTTTGCTATCCCTGAACGAGACATGGACGTGCGTGAAATCCTTCATCATCGAATGGATGCGCACATACTCCTTGCTTTCTTGGCGTTTTGTTGACGCCTAACCCTTGTAGCGTGCGAGCTTTTCTACACTAATGTCCCCACGCCCCCCCTACACACAAGCTACATACACATCATGGCACTTTCAACTTGATACAGCACCCGCCCAGTTGACGGAATCCGTCATTTGGTAGGCCTGTGCCTCATGAAAACACGCCACGAATACCCAAACATTAACGCCATATCTCCCCAACCTCTTCTGCCGGGCCTTCTTCCCCATCCGACTGTGTGAGAGGAACGCGTGGTCCAAAATCCAGACAACCAAGGAACAAGAACCCCCCCCCCCCCCCCCCCCCCCCCCCCCCCCCCCCCCCCCCCCCCCCCCCCCCCNCCCCCCCCCCCCCGCCCCCCCTTCCGTGTGGAAAACTCATGAAGCCATTGATCGAAAGGACGAGTCTACAAGAAGGCACGCACAACATCGCAACCCCCCGCCCCCCTCCCTGGCCAGGGAGTCGGTACTGGCTTCGCCGCCGGAGGCCGGCCTTTGAACGCGGGGTGGACATGTGGTCATCCCTGGGGCTGCCGAACGCCTACTGCGATATCTTCGACCGCATCGAGAGCCGCGGCGCCGCCTGGTTGGTCGCGACCGGTCATCTGTTGCTTCACGCCCTCGACCCACCACCAAGAGGAGATGCTCCTGCTGCTGGTTCCGATTCTTCTTCATCTAACTTGTGCAACGATGGCAAGGACGCCGGCGGCCGGCGCGCGATGAGCGGGGAGGGGCGTGATGGCGGTAGGGGTGATGATGGGCAAGATGACGAGGAACGGCGCGAGGAACAGTACCGACGGCTGCTGGACAACTGTCTGGAGCCATCGTGGCACGAGAAGAAGAGCGAAAAAACGGCGGCCACTAAGACGGTGATCGAAGCGGTAGGAGGGAAAGAGATGCCGTCGCTTACGGCTGCCCTGACTAGACTCACAAACAGCTCGACGTCTGCGACCTCATCTATGCCCGACAGCACGAGAAGCGCGAAGAACAAAAGCATCGGACAAGTCAGTTCTCCTGCAGTCACAGTACCACAAGAAGGCAGCCCCGACAACAACCTCCAGGCGAAGCCAAGGCCACCGTCCACCCCACCGAGCCCGCAGACGATGACGCCGTTGTCACTGCCTAGCAGCGCGGGGACAGGCCGTAGACGGCGCAGCCGTAGCCCTAGCCGAAGATCCCACAGGCAAGGTGGGAACAGCACGGGCACCCGCTCTCCTGCGGCGAACACCCGCCTTCCAGCCACCACGGCCGTCGAGCCCGGCGGCAAGACTTGCGCGGTGTGCCTCCGGCGATCGTCCCCCGCCGCCATGTGCCGCAAGTGCGGTCGCCGAGCCGCCAAGGCTCTGAAGGACAGGGCGGGCTCCCGCAAGGCCCGGGTGATCCTCGTCCCCTACGGTGGACACTTCGGGGTAGGCGAGGCGGACGCCCTGCAGAGAGAGGGCGACTCGGTCAAGCGCTGGGTCCGGCTGCTGGACGACGAGACGGGGGCGGACTTTTACCACAACGTCCACTACGGCTCTTCGGTATGGAAGTCCGGGATCGAACTGCCGAAGCCTGCGCCCGTCGTGAAGGCCGCCCGGCGGCGGCGAAAGGTTGGTGATGGCGGCGGCGGGGTGGTGGCGGTGGTAGGCTCACCGAACTCTGCGGCCTCTGTTCCCCGCAGTACCACCCCCCCCGCCCCCGGGAGCCCCGCGGCTCGAGCCTTGCCGATGGCGAGAGCGGCTACGAACCCCCGCGCGATGGGGATGGCGGCATCCGGTAGTATTGTCCATCGGACGGCGCTGGTGCGAAGGACCATGATGGCGCTTTCAACCGCGTCGATGGCGGCTCTGAGGGCTGCTGCGGGAGGTACCGCCAATGGCGGCGACAACAACGACGGCGAGGACGACGATAGCAAGAGCAAGAATTACGACAACGACGACGACGGCAACAACGGCAACGCCAACAAGGGCACCTCTTCTCCTAGAACGATCATCGAGCGGGCGATGGAAAAAGCAGCGGCTGTGTCGTCACCCGCTTCGTCCCCGTCCCCGCCACAGAAAAACGCCTCCGCCTCTCCCACGGCCGCCGCCGCTTCGCCCGGCCGCAACCGAGTGGTAGTGCGTGACGCGGGGGACGCAGAACCCGAGGTCGTCCTCGACGCCCACAGGAGGATCTATCCGCCATTCAGACTTGTCTCGTGGGAGGATGTAGAAGCCGCGGCGGTGGCGGCGGAGTTGGCTGGCATGAAAGGCGTTTCGCCTAGGCCGGGAACGGGGGTGTCGGGGAGGAAGAGTTACTCGCACGGGACGTCCGGGGATTCGGCCGGCAGGGGGCGGCGGCCGAGGCTGACGACGGCGGTGACCAAGGGCGGCGGGTAGTGCTCGAAAAATTGCTTGCGGGAGAGCTGCCGCTGCTGCTGCTACGATGGTGAAGATTCAGCAGTCGATGTTTATGGTTGGGTGTGTGGACGTATCTTAGTTCTCTCTGCATTAGACGTGCTTTTGTCTTGTGTCTGGCTTCCAAGTTTGTCGTGTTTTTTGTTCATGTGATGCCTCAGTTTTCCTGGAGGGGGTACAAGGTGACAGTGAAATGTTTGCTTCAGAACAACCCCTCTCCAAAACCTGGACCTTGCCGTCAGCGTCCCTCGGCGGTAATGAAAGGGAGAAAACTCTCTGAATGAGGCTCGCACTTTCACGATACATACTGTAAGACATTTCCCTCTTCAAAACATGAAGGTCGGCGGGGTCCTACCTAGGCTATATCCATCGGTAGAAGGAAGCAACACTTGAAACTTGCATGTTGTCGCGCTGAGTGCTTAAGTCCCTCGCCCTTCGTGGTTGCTCCTGTTGTCTCGAAAACGCTTTGTGACACAGAATTATCACAAACTCGTCCTGTGCATGTCGCTACAAAAAATAAACAAATCTGCGTTATTAGTCACGACGGCCGACGGACGTGAACACGGATCGGATGTGTAGACGGCAGTACCACACGTCACGTGTGTACGCATTATGCCTCCGACATTGCAGAGAACAACGCGTGCGTGCGTGCGTGCAGACAGAAAAGAAAAAAAAGCTTTTGCTTGTCCACATACACCTGTCCATGGCTCTTTGGACAAATCGGGCCCTACTAATTTGGTGTTGTTTATTTTTCCTTTTTATTCTCATAACAGAAACAACACGTCGCCGTTAGCCGTTCGTATCACTTGCGCAGGACCGCCCCCCCCCCCCCC